ACCGATCATGCACTTTTTCACAAAAATCGGCCCGATTATGATCGGTGACCGATCGATCGGCACACCTCTAGTTAAAAATCATGTGCTCACAAACGGGTCAACTATCATATTCGGTGTGCTGTGTGCACTGACTCAGAGCTAATTCACTAATATTCTGCCCTCCAAAAGAATTTTAATAGAAGACACGATGCAGTCAGATGTTTAGCTAACTTAATTTACTGATTATGAGGCCTTGCAAAAGTATTCACAAACATTTTCACATTTAGTCTCTGTACCACCACAAATGTTAATGGATTTATATCTAACTAACCATAAAAACTTAATCGGTTTATTCTTTTAGAAATGGCTTTTGCAACTGCCCAACTATATAATTACAGCTGCAAACCTTTTTGGGATTATCTCTACCAGTTTTCAAATTTTGAAACCAACATTTTTGTCCAGTCATGTTTGAAAAAAAACAAAAAACAGATGGGATGAACTGGGCAGTCGTTCATTTATGGTGGTTGTCCTGCTGGAAGGTTAACCTTCACCCCAAACTCAGGTTTTATGCCACATCTTGCAAGATCTTCCAGCATTGCCATGTATCAGGATAAGCTGTGCACCAATAAATCAGCCCCTATTTTTATCAATTTTGGGAGGTTGGCGATTGGCCAATTGTTGGATGTGAAACTGATCCTCAAAGGTCTGAAATTCAACCACAGTCATGAGAGAGGATTAGGCACACCTCATGTACCGATAGTCACCCCACTATTGCTAACTTTGCAAATTCCCAACCTTACAGACAAAAAAAATCGTCATTAGCCAAAATCGGAATTGGAGGCTCAGGCTTTATAAAGATCAGTGATCGGCCAGAAAACAACAGTTGGTGCCCCATCTTCCCCTTTCTCTTGTAATTAAAGAAAACGATCGCCACAGCATGATGTTGCCTCTGCTCTGTTTCACTGTGTGGACGGTGTGTTCAAACATGATTCAAATTTAGCCTCATCTGAGCAGGTCATGTGTTTTTTCTTTACACTTTGTTGTAAACTGCAAACATTCATTCTTAGTATTAAGTTTCACGCCTTCTGAAAGAGTCGTGATTTCCTTTTTAACTACGATAAAACCAGAATCAGTCCACTGAACGTCTCTCTCGGTTGTGTTTTTCTTGTTTCCTTTCGTCCAGAGTATTCTCACGAGTTCTCCCTCTCCCCAACGGCAACTGGAACGCCATTGTGGACGACTGGTGTTGCCACCCGGATCCGTTCGCCAACAAGAAGCTGCTGCCCCGAGCTGAGGACTGTCTGCTGGGGGACACCTTCGTCCTGGTGGCCCGTGACGCCGGCTGCGACCACACTCTGACACAGGAAGTGAGCTCTGCCGGCGCTGCCGACGGTCAAGATCCAAAGGTGAGACAGCTCCAGGTGACATTGAACTTCTTTGTTTTCGAGGGCAACAAAATGGAAAAGTTGGAGCAGTGCGTGCCTGTCGTCTTCACAGGCACGCTGTCCTCAGACTGCTCTGGCAGTTTAGTTCAACTCCAGCTCCAGATGAAGATTGATCTCCTCTTTCTTCCATTAGTCATTCCCCGCACGACTCGCGTGCTGCGTGACTGCAGCTGAAAGGAGCTGGAAAGTAGTTTCAGTGTCTGCCGCGTATCGTCCTTTCTCTCGTTCGGAAAGCAGCAGCTCACTTGTGATTTTGTTTGTGTGCACAGAAACCCTGTCACCGTTTGGCCCTTGTCTCCTGCGCGAGCTGTTCGTCGGTGCTGGGAGAGGCTGTCGCACCAGGTCTGCACCACTCCTGCTGGTTTTATTTTTATTTTCTGTTAAATAAAAAGGCCTTTCGGCGGTGCGTCAGAGACTTTTTTGTTTACGACGCTGTATCTTCCAGGGACGCTGAAGCTGTACATCACCCAGGTGGTGGTGCAGCCCGCTGTGGGAGATGGAAGGCCTGACGCTTCACTGAACAGGCACGCTGCTGCTTTTTGTTTTTTATCTCCCTTCTTCATGGTGACACTTTAGAAACTCTGGTTAGGAAAATACAAGGAAACAAAAGGTCTGTTATCTTAGGAAGACGAACAGACTTCCTAGAGTCTGGAAATGATGGAGTTTTATTGAAGCACTTTGAGGGTCTGGATGGATATGAAAACAGAAAATATTACTGAGATATATTCATTCACTATTTATTCCTTTCTTTCCTTCTATTCTTTTACTCTTCTTTCTTTGTTTGCTTCTTCCTTTCTTTCTTTGCTTCTTTCTTTCTTTTTTCAAGTCTTCCTTCTTTCCTTTCTTCTTTTCTCCTGTCCTTCCTTTGTTTCCTCCCTTCCTTTCCTCCCTTTTCTTCCTTCCTTCCTCCCTTTCATTCCTTTTCTTTCTTCCATCAACCCTTCCATTCTTCATTTCTTTCTTCCTTCTATCCTTCCCTCCTTTATTCCTTCCATTAATCCTTCTTTCCTTCCTCCCTCCTTCCTCTCTTCCACCCCTATCCTTTCTCCTTTTCTTCCTTCATTCTCTCTTTCCTTCCTTCTGTCTTTCATTTCTTCCTTCCTTCCATCTTTTCTTCCATTAACCCTTTCATTCTTTCATCCTTTCTTCCTTCGTTCAGTCCTTCCCTCCTCCATTTCTTCCATTAACCCTTTCTTCATTTACTTCCTTCCTTCCTATTGTTCACCAGCATTCCTTCTTTCCCTCCTTCATCCCTCCTTTCCTTCCCCTCTTTCTTCCATGTGCTCACATGACTGACAGATATAAAATATCAGGACTGATGGAAATGAATGAACTTGTGTTTTTTCTTATTTAGATCTTCCTTCCTAGAGAAGACAGTTGCTGCCCGGCTGCTGGATCTGTCCAGCTCACTCAGCTCCTTCCACTTTTCTCTTCAGACGCCTGATGGGAAAGTCGTCTTACTGGTAAGATGGTGGACAGAATGAGGTATAATGTCAGTGGCAGTAGAATTGGTCAGTTCCAGTACACCATCAAGCCGCTCAGCTCTGACCACATAACGGGGCTCAGTGTGCTGAGCAAGCAGACTTTATCAGGGAATAAAATTAGAAAGGGAACCGCAACTGCCGGAGCGTTGCCACATTGTAATGTCTGTTCATTCAGTCTGACCTGCTTTACAAATGTGTTGCTGGCTGACAGCGAGTCATAAAAGCGCTCTGAGACTCAGGCGACCAACAGCACTATAATCAATCTGGTGTGAAATTGGATCAGATCGGGGCAGATCTTTTTACAATAAAAGGTATATGTTCTAGCTTTATGGGTTTCTCTGAGTCCCAGAAAAAGTTTGAGACTCATGAGACTATGAGAGAGTTGCTACAACACTCTAGAACAAACAGCCAAGTTATACTGCTATATTTTATCGCATTCTATACATTTTCTTGAATTTAGTCTGCTTTTGTGAGTCAAATGCTGTGCTCCTTCCTTCAGCTCTGGCTGCTGAACGCAGACTCCATCATCGCCTCGGTCCCAGAGACATGCATCAGGGAGGGGGGCTCCAGCGGCCCCCCCGCTTCCCTCAGTCCATCACTCAGAGCTGCCAGAGCCCTGAAGCTCCTCTACATCAGCTGCTCCGGCGCCAGCACCCAGCAGAGAGAGTAAGTGAGGATGCTTAACACGTCCTCGGGCCTCATTGAATCTTTGTTTTCCTCTTCTTAATCACGGCTCTTCGCCTCCTGGATCACCCGCTCCGTCTTTACCCGTCACCAGATGAAAGATCGCAGGTGGACAGATTTTATTTCCTAATGGAACACACTACGCTGTCGTTCCCTGTTCATTATAGCATCTATTACTTTTTGCAGAAGCACTTGCCATCAAAACCTCCTATTCTCTTTTTTTATTATTATTATTTGGCTCCAAATAGTATCATTAAAAGGTCTTTTTATTCCCCGTTTATAACAAAAAGACACAAAACCAATTCCAACAACCTTAGATGGGAGATTTACACAAGGAGCAAGGTTATCATAGTTAACTAAAACTAACGAAATAACAAAAAGTGAAATTAAGAAAACATTGTCATTACCTGACATGAATAAAAGTGGCAGTTAATGGGGAAAAATATAACCATCTGAAACTATATCATACGTTTATAAAACTAATTAAAACATATTAAAATTATAGCTACAATATCCTTCTTAATATAGTTTTAGTGCTTGTGAATCTCTTAACTTTTAGAAAATTATCAGTTTTTTCAATAGATTCTTGACATCAACGTTAAAGGTATGTTTTCATCAATTACAAGTAGACCTGGGCAATACATCAGCAACAATACATATATTGTGATAGACACATGTGATCTATATCAATTTTCTGTAATTTCACAAAATTCCGATCAAAATTCCACACAGCATTCTGGGTAATGTAGGCAGGGGAAAAAATTCATACTCAACCTCTCTCGGTGAACTAAGCTAACTCACTCTCTCTTCTGTTACCTAGCAACAACTCAAGTAAGCTGCACAGCAGCAGTTTCAAGTTTTGTCATCTTCCGTCATAGCTGCTTAAAAATAAAAAAACAACACTATGGGGTGAAAGCTGTGGATAAACAAGGAAAATAACGACACCAGTTTGACAGTATTTCACATATTTAAAACAAAAGACTAATAACTATTAATATGGACTGATATGAACACTTTTATTGTGATACGTTTATCAGCTGTATCAATATTTGTAGGAAGACACAATCGCAATAGAAGAACATTTTGAGTATAAACTACGGAGTAGAACTGCAGACACTTTCTTTCTGTGGCAGAACACTTTAATTTTTGTTACAGAGTTGCTGCAATTATAACTTTATGTGGTCAAAAGCAGAGTTCAAATGCTCAAAAGCCTGTGCAGCTGTTGACAGTATCATCGGCGTAAAAACGGACAAATACGTTTGTGTCTGGTACTATGTTATTTATAAATTTAGTAAATAGTGTGTGTCCTGAAACTGAGCCTTGAGGTGTCAACCATATCCACAATGCCAGAAAGGGATTCATTAACACTATGCTTTTGATGATACAGATAAAAAATGAACGAGTTGGAGAGTACAGTGTGTCGGGCCAAGATTAACCGTATCAGAGGCCTTCGAAAGGTCAGTGAAGAGGGAACACAGCAATTCTTGGTGTTCAATGTGTGTATAATGACATTAATTACTTTCTGTTTGCACTTTCTGCCTGATAGCTGTACATCTACCACGATGGTCAGAAAATTAGTGTTATAATGAGTTGACAGCTACAGAAGCCTTAGTAATGTTCCTTTTTTTGTTTATTTTTTAAACATCGTCCATCAACTGATTAGATTAAATATTTTCCGCATATGTTCTGAGAATCTCTTCCTTTCACAGTCTGTGTCCGGCAGAGCAGATCTGTAAGCACTGTGAACTTGGGGAACACCTGGATTGTCTTTACCGCCAGATATCTATAGGAAAGTAAAAGAAAGACGTTGCCATATCTCCCGGCATTGTTTCAGCTTACTAATTTGATGCCAAAGGACGGTAGCCAAATCTTGATCTTATGTATAAAAAGATGACACATGATTAAAAACAAAAATAGTCAGCCAAATAAAATAAATATAGAATATGGAAAAGGTCAGAGAAAAATCCATAGTGCTGAACATTTGAAAAAGTAAAACTCTGAGAATTGAGACTGTTGTTACCCAACACTGAATGCAGTTAAAACTGCAGGGTTTGCTGCCTACTCTCGTCCGGCCCTTTGTTGTGTCGGTTCATTTTTCAGAGCCTCCTGTGAGACTAATGTTGTGTGTTTGTGAGAATTAATAGTTATGGGATCCATTCCAAATCCATTCTGGTTTTGCTAATTTACAGTTAGACCATTTATAAAGGCAAGATGTTGCAAAGAAATGAGCACTGCTCAGTTTGCCTGATATTTTTGGGCGAAACATTTCTTCAGACTCGACCACAGACACTTGAGACAGAATCCTGAGCAGTTGCTGCAGCTCTCACAGCAGTTTTTTTTTAAGCCAAGAATCACCTCATGATAAAGACGAACCCAGCAGATTTTGGGGCCAACTTTATAAAGCTAAATTGAGTTTAAAAATTAGGATTTTTCTTTAAGAAATGCATTTCTTACATTTTGATAACATTCAAAATGTTTGTTAGCTTTTCTATTGTAAGTCAGAGGTAAATTTTTCTGCTAGAAGTAGAGATGACATCCCTCTGTGTGTGAGAAAGAGAGAAATCCCTGAAAAAACACGGTTTTAATTTTAAACAAAAGCAAAATGGACATTTTAAGCAGTCCTTAGAGCGCCATATTGCCAGTTAGGATCACAAATAAATCTGTGTGTGTTGGAAGATACAGACAGCTACATTAACTCAAGAGATTTTCAAAAAGGTTGCCAACATTTACATGTCCAGCAGAGATGTAAATTAGGGATGGACCGATTTGAAAATCGGACCATCGCCAGTATCGATTTCTGATATCAATATTGCTAAAAATCGATATTTCCCGATATTGTATATATTTCCCTACACATTTGACATTGTGTAAAAGTTACAACAACACCTATATTGCTTTTCTGCTTCAGTATTACATTCCCATAATCCTGTGCTGCATCCCCATCACATGGCCAAACAAATACCTCATGAACAGCTTGTTCCACTCTTCCTCCTGAAACACAAGACGACAACAAGATGCAAAATTGATAATAGTGGCCCAGTTTTGCTCATTGGACCAATATTTTTAATAAGGTCTGCATAAAGGTCCTTTCTGCACCTAAAAAGGTTGAAACTAAGATGACCGAAAGAAGCAAAAGTACAAACTTCTCTCTGTTCTAGTAGTCTGAATGAACAGCTATCTTCCTTCTGACTTCATTTTTATAACCACCTGACTGATACTGAAAACGGCCAACATGGCAGCAACAGTCTCCACACTGAGGAGTGGGTGTTGTTGGTGCAAACTGGTGGTGTTTGGTTGTGGTGCATGTCGGTTCAGATTGATGAGTGTGCAGGCACAATGAACCATATGTGGAAAAACACTGTCCCATTAAAACTGACTTAATAAATCAGTCTGTTAACAAAATCACCCTTCAGTTGAGCTTGTTAATATTTCCTTTCGGCTTGACTGCATCGCTGAGAAACATTTAATAAAGACAAACGCCCGACTGCTAATTTATTTAGTTTGGTGAATATTGGGAGATCTGTATTAACTAATATGTAGCAATGTTTTATCATGAACTATTCAACCTTTTCATCTTTTAATTGAACGTAACGTTTGGAAATGCAATAATTAAAAATGTCATTTGAAAAAAAACCCTCTTAAATTAGGATTCTTTCCCTCTGTATTCCAAGTACTATGGTGGAAAACAAGGTCTTGTGACAACTCTTTTACATTACCATCACTGCTCCAGCATTTTGCTTGCCCTCCTCGGATGTGTAGATGAATTCTGCAAGATCAGTTGAGAATTACCCGACTAGAAGATGCTTCCACCCTCATTATTTTCAACTGAATCAGCACTTAACATCCCTCCTCGCCTCCCCCCCTGTCTCCTCCATCTCTCTCACTGTCCTCATCTTCCCTGCAGCCAGCAGGCGTGAAGGCAGAACACGGAGGTTTTGTTGTTTCCTCTATTTTGACAAGCCCACCGGCTGACTGACAGAACGGGTAATTACTTTGAGACAAAACTTCACTATAAGAGAAAGCGGTCTTCTCAGGCAAAGCGGCGCGCCTCACGTTGAGTGATGTGATTTACTGTAAGAGTTGAGTGACGCATGGGAATGTGAACGCGCTGGATGCTGGGAGACGTACGGCTGTTGCAGTCAAACTTTGACATTCTAACTTTTCACCTTCGTGCTCCAGCTCCTCACAGAGAAAGAAATGCTCATATTTGCAGCTCAGCATCTTGTAAATAGCTGTTCAGCTCCCGATCGCTCGAGTGCGACGGTGTGTTGATGTGTTTAAAAGAAACATGGCTGTCTTGATTTGCAGAGGGTAACAATAACATATGTTTACTCTCCTTCACCTGACTGTGAGTTGTTCATCTACCAAGCTTACCGATATTTTCTTACTCAGAGGAAATTAGTAAGTGACACATTTAAGCTGCTGTCTGATTTATTTTATTTCATTTTTTTGAAAAGACTATAGCCACATTTAGGGTTGAAATGATTAATCGAATGAATTCCTTATTGAGATAATCGTCAACAAATTTAGTAACTGATTAATTGTTAACTGGAGTATACAGATTTAAAAAATTGCCTAAGCTGCAAATTGCTAAGGGACTTTTATGGATTACAGGAAATCTATAATAAATTCAAACATGTTCACGACGTTCTGCTTTAACTTTTACTACAGTTGGCTTGGAATAATTCCACCCTAAAAATACAACGGGGATTTCATGTGATTTCTTGGCTTTCTCTTTTTAATACATTTCCAAAACACTCAAAAAACATTTCCACATTGTCATAATTGTGGGCAGAATTTTCTGATAAGGTATTAATTTAAAGCAATTTGGAATAAGGCTGTAACATATAATGTGTGGAACAGTGAAGCAGTGTGAATATTTTCTTACTTTGTTGTGTGTCGGACATGCGCAGGAGCTCAGCTGGAGTGTTTTGATATATAAAACCAGCATGAGAACGTGGAGTTGATTGATGGCCACATCTCCGGATTATAACAACCTTTACATTACTCAAGACGTCATCATTTCACCCCAAACTTTTCCTAAATGTCACCTCCTTCTCCCACTTTCCTGCAGGTATAACTGACTCTTCCATTTCCCCTCTACATAATTTACTAGCATCCTTCATCACTCACCTCTGACAGTTTAAATTAAATGTTATGCCCGGGGAGCTGAATTCCCCCGGTGATGACGGCCTTCCTATTTGGGATATGGTCGGATGCAGTCGGCTGCAGCTGGGGGTTACAGTATGTCTTGTTTAAACTGCCAATAATTGGCTGGAGAATCAGTGAGCCAGGGCCTAAGTGGATTAGTCTTGTCACCTATGGCAGAGGCTCGAGGAGGGCTGAGTGAAGTGCGTGTCGTCGTCTTTTAGCGCTTTACAAAAGTATTCATACCTCATAAGCTTCTTCACATTCTCCCACAATTGCAACCACAAATCTCTTGTATTTTGGGTGCATTTAAGTTTATGTTCCTACACAAATTAGCTGGTAATGGTGAATAAAAACAACCTAAAATACAAAAAATCAAATTAGTGAATAAACAGCAACATGGCAACCTAGGAAAATGGACAGCTTTGTGATGAAGTTACGTCTAAGCCATAATCAAGCTAAGTTTATGGAACAAAAATGTTATTTTTTTTCTGAATTGGCATGTTTCTGTTAAGCAAATGTATTTTTTCTAATTCCAAATTTGCACAGTTATATGGTTAATAGAAACAGTCAGTGTGTCTAAAATGAGGATCAGAACCAAACATGGAGAAGCAACATTCAGCTTCTATGCACCACAAATCTAGAACAAACTTCTAGAAAACTGCAAAACAGCCGAAACACTGAGTTCCTTTAAATCAAGACTAATATCCCACCTGTCTAGAGCCGCTTTTGAGCCATAATTAATGAAACATTGAGTAACATGTATGATTTGTATTGATGTTTTTGACAATGGCACTCGATAAAATGCAATGTTTGTGTTCTTAAATTGTTGACTCTAGGATGTTTATGTGACTTTTTATTTGTGTTTTTATGATTGAAAACACTTTGAACTGCCTTGTTGATGAAATGTGTAAATAAACCCGAATGATTGATATAAAGTTGGAGATGTGTCAAACATTTGCTCTCTTTATAAGCAATACAATATACTGGGATATTTAATTTTCCCAAAAATGAAGCTTAAGTCTGCCCAACAACTATGTTTCTTATGTTGTCCTTTGAAGTAGTTGCACACCTAAAATTAACTGATAACCTACTGTACGTGATCTCCAACATTAAACAGCCACAGTTTAATTTGTAATTATAAAATATTCCACTTCTTGAAAGCTGTAACATGAATGTATCTCGTGAAAACTCATTTGTTATAAAAGTAGAAATCATCTACCCAGTAATAACAGTACATTATCTCATGCTACTCTATGCAAAAACTCTGTCTGTACTAGTGAAGGTTGAATCCCATTGTTCTAGGGTTAGGGTTTAGGTTTTTACTCTTGCTATCCACTCTAGTGCAAATTCTAATTATGCCTCATTTTTCTCTGTGTAAACTTACAAAGTTGAACTAGCAGACTGAATGAGACTTCTGTGCTTCGTCTTGGTTGTGTAATGCTGATGCACTCACAGTAAACCCCAGATCCTCTATGTTTGTTATTTTCAGGATTGTTACTAGTTGGGAGGTCAACTCCATCGGACACCCCATGGTCCTGCCACTGCAGGTGTGTGAGGAGCTGCTGCAGGTGATGGATGAAAGCAACTCCACGCTTCCTGCCTCCATGCGCTGCATGAGGTCCTATGAGGTGAGGCGTCTACAGAAGCCTCCGATAATGACTGCAGCATGCGGCGGCTTTGCATTATCAAGGATTTCTTTTAATCTTCCCAAAACTTTTGTAGCGAATCGATGTTTTGAATCCAAAGAGACGCTGTGGGTCGTCTCATTGATCTTTATCCTTCTGTAAGAAAATCTGTTTTTAGCTGACAGCAGTCATTTACTCGCTCTGTTTTAACCTCCGGCAACTTGTTGTTTTCTGTACTCAGTGGTGCCTGACAATGTTTTCGTCCTGCCTTAATTAATTTCATGATTCAGAACTTTCACTTTGCAGTTTTGCTTTGGGGATTAAGTGGAACAACTGTGAGTTTTTACTTATTTCATCTCTTTTTCTGTACGCTTGCAATTGTGCTAAATATGTTGAGTTAATCTGAGTTGCGAAGAAGACCCCTTTTGACTTGATAATAGTTCAGTTTGCTGACATCTCTGCTCTCAAAGCTGTTTTTAGCTTGGTAACGGGAGGGTAATTAACACTATTATCCTCAACTTCCTGCTCACAATGTGAGGAAAGTAACTCCTACGCTTTAAAGTTTCCTTTCTGCTGAGTATAAAAGGTGGAGTGGAGACTTATGACTAGCTTCATAATGCAGTTATAACTAAGGCTGGACAGATTGCAGTTACCTCAGCAATCGCCGATTTTTAAAAAGCTTGACCTGCCGATTCCGCTTTCGGCCGATACTGATTTCTTTTGTTGGAAAAGTTGCTAAATTGGTAACAGTGGGGTGACTATTGTTAATGGCGCATGTGCAGTTGTGACCTGATAGGCTGATCTACATAAGATAAGATCAGTTTAACATGTGAGTATCGGCTGATTACTCGAAATTAAGGACATATTATTAAAACTTATTGAAACTTCCTAGTTTTTTCACAGCGTTATATTGTGTTCAAAACATTCACATTCAGAATTTTATACCTTTTTTCAATAACAAGCAACACATTTCCTTCCATTTCCATATTCACAAAACATAATCAATATTTATTGTCATTGTTATGGTAACAACGAAATTACATTTGGGCATCATCTGACAAAGGCCAAGTGCATAAAGTCCAAAATTTGAGCTCTGCTTATATTTGTAAAGGAACTGACCTGTCTCCTTATATGTTAAAGCTTCCTAACAATAACTATCAATGATTCAGCCTGAAAAGAAATGATCGTCACCCATGGAAATCGTCGGACAGTATTCTGATGCTTCATGAACTCTGATGTACTGCTGATGTCAACAAACTAGTAGGACACAGATGCTAAACTTACCCAGATCCTGGTTCCGTTTGTCTGACGTAGAAAATGCTCTTCTAGCTTCTTTGCTTTAGCATCGGAGAATGAACTTTTGCAGTTTCCATGATATCTTCTTTTCAGACATCATTGCCGCAGTCACTCCACAAATAAGACAAAGATTTGTAAAAAAAAAAAAAAAATCTCTTCTCACTATTCTGACTTTTTGCTTGTTACTTCTTTGGAAGTACCAAGCTGTTCTTCCTCAAAATTGCTGCCTCATCAGCTAACTCAGCATTTAGTGAGGGGCTGGCTTACACTCAAATTTTAGCTCTCATCTTACACCTTGACATGTCTGCTTTCCAATTTTTAGATTCAGTAATGTCTTTTTTTCAAAATTACATAAATGAAAAAGTTATTTTTACAAAAGCAACACAAATCAGCAAATAGGGGAACTGAAGTAGTCTCTAGGGGTGACCAGGTTCCTGCCGGTGCCAAGTCTGCTACTTCTGATCTATGTTGTTAAATTAGTCTGGAAAAGAAGAACTTTTGTTTTATTATTATTGTCATTTTCTGCTGTTCGGGTGAAACTAGCTCCCTTTCGCTACATCATAAAACTGTGTTTTTGTTTTTTTATGACGGGAGTAGGAGGTCTCCTCCCTGAAACGATAGAAAAGCAGAGATGGAGCACAACAGTGTTGACTGAGAAACGGTGAGAGATGAACTGATGCAGTTCAGCACTTCCTGATAGGAGCTGCATGCTGTAATCTAGAAGCCAGATTGTAGTCTGAGATGGACTGGAAGTGTCTTGAGAGATGCTGTTAAGAAAATGCTTCAAACTCCTGGGTGACAGAGGTGGAGGACGAGGCTGACGAGAAGATGGAGTAGCTGGTGTCTGGATATAAAATAGGCTGAATAGTCGAAAAGCATTTTAAAGCTGCTTTTAATCCAATTAAAATATGCTCCGTTTGTATTTCCAACGTTTTAGAAACTTATTATTCTCTATACATCATCAACATGGATACCAAGAAAGGATCATTAATATGAAATAATAGTTTTATTACAGTTGAAATAGAAAAAGTTTGACTTATTAAGAGTTATGGTTGTAAAAAAAATGGCATAGCATCATTTCTTTTCTGAAGCTGCAACGAAATATCGGATTAAAACACCAACAGGCTTCATTTATTCATTTTTAACTAAAGGCTGGCTCACAAAGCACTATCAAGTTTTTTCAGCATGGTGGAATATGTCTAAATAGAGTGCTTTTGGTTCAAAAGACTATATGTACGTCTGAGACTTTTTTTTTCTTTTTTTGTTGAAGTGTTAATCAAAGTTTCTCGGAGTTGCCCTGCTGTATTGAGTCAACATTTACAGAAAACTCTTGCTGAATTCTTGCTGACAGTTTGTTTTATTACATAAGCATTTAAGAAGTTCTTTCCACTTTTACATAGTTTTCTTGGCAGCATTTGGGATCCTAGTCAATACTGGTACTGCTTGAACTGGATTCCTCCACACTGAACAGATATAAATATATATATTTTTAAAGCTTTATGAAGATTTATGACCTCTTGCGTTTGTGTGAAAATCAAAACAGGAACCTTTTAAGTACTGTTTTGGCATCAGGAACCAGTGTGACTAAAACGAGGTAAAAAAAATTGTGATTTGTCAAACATTTACTCTGTAAACAAAACAAAAAAACTGGGATATTTAAAAAGTTTTAATTTTTCAGATAAAATCTGCTCATGAATTGTGTATGCTGTGTTGCCTTTTGAGTCAATTGTATAGTTACAAGCCTCATATTAAACAATACTCTAAAAATAAGTGATCTCCAGCAACACCAAACTGCCGCAGTTTTATTGGAAATTATAAAATATACGACTGCTTGATTATTTCTACACAATGTATTGTGAATATATCATGATCAGGACTGTTTGGAGAGCAATAATTATTGACCAATATATTATACAAATCCCGAAGTTGTATTTTTCCTTCTATTCAGCATTTAGCCACAGGAGCAAAAGTCACATGAGACATAAATGACATTGCCAAAAAACTTAAACGTCACATAGACTAGGAAGCACAGATTAGAAAGAGGATAAAAAAGAAAATTGTAATATATCGCACTTGATATCATTGTAATATTTACCGATATTATCGCCATCACAAGATTTTCTAATACCATGCACCCCTGGTATACATCACACCTAAATTTAAGAACTTTAAAAAGCATCTATGTAAAAACAGTACTGTCTCATGCTAACCTATGCAAACACTGTACTAGTGAAGGTTGCCCTAGGATCATGTTGTTTTGGTTTTTCTTTTTAGTTGACATGTTGCCATACACAGGAATTGCTTGGTAAGATGTCTAGAATGACTCTTGACAATCACTTTGCTGACCTCACATTTACCTCTGAGATGTGATGCAGCATCATCACAGGTGTTAAAAAAAAACTACATCATCGAACACGGCGGTAGCACCACGGCAACTTTCAAAATGCTGTCCGTATTCAATGCAGCACTGTAAATTTTAACCCAGATAACATGAGCAGCTGCATTTCCATTACAAATGTGTGCAAAATTTTAATGATGCCGAAAAATCACAATTTTGCAATTGTGTTGTTTCCATTAAGAAAGAGACAATTAAAATCACACATGAATAAATTTATTCACACTACAAGTCATTAAAAACATGCCTCATCCTCTTACCACTTCCATGTCGTTTTCTTCATCTTCCATTAGTAATAACAGTTGTTGATCATGTTATTTTTGTGATGTGAGAAAGTGTTTCCATTTCAGCATTACAAAATACACTAAATTTGATGCAGCAAAAAGAAAAAACACCTCATCCTTGCGCAAAAACATGTCAAAATTACTGTTTGAAGTAAGCAATTTTATTTTTCTAATTCCAATTTGCGCAGTTACACGGTGGATGAAAACGACTCTTAATTACACGTAATCATGAATGTTATGTGTGTCGCATGACGTGTTACAAAAAAAACACTTAGGAGCATTTCTACACTCCAAAATGAAAGGGCAAAGTTAGAAGCCACAACTATATCATCATCCATTTAGCTCACTGGGGCACTAGGACATCAAACCAGAGCCATACCTAATGATGTTGGTACCACTTTCATCATGACTAGTCGAAGTGTCTGCTGTTTGAACTATGCCTCTCAAAAACTCGTGAGCGTGTTCATTTAACAGAATGTGGCCATTGTTCCCATCAAGAACATGTTCATAATCATTCCTCTGGTGGGTCAGAATGTCTCAATTGAGTCCTGCAGCCTGAGAAAGATAAATCCTTTTATATATGAATCTAATGTTACTGTAATATCCTTTTTTTTTGTTGTAAATATTAAAAACTGTACATGCTTCGATGAACATCCACAGCAACTCCTCACCATTTTCTCTATGAAAAGCTACAGAAGCCACCACAGCCTGTCCTCTCACTGCGACGAATCGCTTTCTGCAGGGAGAAAAACGCTGACCTGTGCCAGTTGGTGAGTTTTTAGTTTAATTTCAGCCCCAGTCGGTGTCACGACCGGGCCTGCAGAACGTCTGGGTTGCTGCTCTCCTCTCGCCACCGCCGGCGTAATGGGCTGCAAAGTAGATCCAGTTCAAAAGCGTCGCTCTTCTGGTCAGGGGAGAATAAAGAACGGTGCCTGTCTTCCTCCTCCACCCACACTCACTCCTCCATTAATCTCCTCATCACTCCCACGGAGATGTTAGAAACCGGGTGATTTACATTAAAGAGATGAGCAGGTGCATCCACAGATTCTTTGATTCTTTTTTTTTTTTTTTTTTTAAATAAATGACCTCCCCCAACCTGCTGACATCTAGAACGATTGTTCACGCAGCAACGTCTAACAGGAATTCATCAACTGAGCCGTGGGTGTTTGACGCCGTCCTGTTTCACATCAGTTTTTGGACCCGAAACGTCCATCAAACATTTAAAGCACCAGCCACCTCGCCGCTTTCCATGACTTCGTTTGCATTCCTGATGGGAAAGTAGAAGCTGTTTAAGATGTTAATCTGTCACCTGATATCACAGCTGTTTATCACCTACTTTACGTCGGTTTCTTGGCACATGGCCTCGTCGCAGCAGCAGATGGAGTGGTGAAACAGACGTTAATAATGATGGCTCAGTTCTTTCATGTTTCCGTGGAAACAATCCGGCATCGTGCTACCTCAGCCAAGCACAGCGAAGTCTATCTAGAGTCAATACAGTTGTATTCAAACTAATGATGCACCGATATGAAAATTTGGCCAGATATGAAAATTTGGCCATATACTGTGGTATATACTGTGGTATATACTGTGGTATATACCACAGTATATACCACTGTATATACTGTGGTATAAACAGTGGTATAAACTGTTTATACCACAGTTTATACCACAGTATAAACAGTTTATACCAGTTTATACCACTGGTATAAACTGGTATTGTTTATACCAGTGGTATAAACAATACCACTGGTATTGTTTATACCAGTGGTATAAACAGTATTTACCGATTATATATTTTCCCCATCCATTCAACATCAAAAAATAAAACTCAGGGTTGTTGATCATTAAGAAATGATGACCAACCTGAGAATTATGGTCCCAGTTAGGAATAAACGTATAAATAAGTTAAAGACTGAGGCGAAGAAAGTAAGATGTAAAAAAATACATCTTATTTACCATACTATCAATTAATCAAGTTTGTTTGCATGAAGGCAGGAAACGGGCAACTCAGAGTGCTTTACATCACAAAAACAAAAAGTCATAAAATCATGCTACAGTCACCAATTGACCAACCAGTAACAAATACTGCATTTTGTCAAGTGACATCATCAAAATCATCAATCCACGTCAAATATGTTGGTCAGTCTTCTGGTTTTTATGGTTCAAAGCAGGTGGGGTTTTAGCCTTGATTTAAAGGAACTCAGTGTTTCAGCTGTTTTTTCAGTTTTCTGGAAGTTTGTTCCAGATTTGTGGTGCTTAGAAGCTGAACACTCAAAGAAAGAGGTTGGAAAATGACATACACTGTATGGCATAAAATTAAATTAGTATTTGAATTTTATATTTAATCCTTACTTTTTTGTATTTAATTTCCTGTTTTTAATTTTGATATATTGTCACCTTGCTAAAGTAATGGCTTAAGTACTCTTTTGCAAAAAGATGATATAAGTGGAGGGGGGGGATCACTTTTGGGGAAAAATTGACCTAGGCCGTTACTTTAGGAAGGTGACAATATTGATTTTTGTTTTATTCCACAGCGTTGTACATTCTTTAAAATGTATTACTTTTTTAAATTGCTGTAGATTTATTCTCCTCCCATTAACGTTCCAATTTCTGTCCCTTTTATTCATCTCCCACAACTACTTTCCATTTTTCTGTTTTGCTGTTGTCATATGTATATGTTTTTTAATGCATAGAAAATATTTGTTCAATTTTTTATTTTTTCATTTTCTTTTTGGTACATTTTTTGCACAAAAGCCACTATATTTATTTCTGTAGCTAATGTCACTAGCTGGCTAAAGGGAGTTTAGCTGATGTAGACACACCCATCGATGCAACAACGTAGCATCATGTAATTATATAGGGCAGCAGCCTTATTATGTGTTTCAGTGTCCTCTTCCCCTGTTCCTTTAATCGAGTTCTGCTTGTCCTCGCCCGTCTCGGTCCGTTTCCTCACATGGAAGGAAACATTCTCCATGCCGCCTGCCAAGGTTGAAGTGTTTTGTTTGATAAGCACCGAGCATCAAAGTCTGGGATCGCTCACCTCCCTTTACCAGCAGCCCTTTGTCACTGTCTCAACACCTTTAATACCTCAGACATTAAATAACCACCTCCCGTTTGGAGGAAGAAGGCATCAACTGAGGGGGTTTTGTACAGATGGAAAATTAAAGTAGCAAACACAATCTGCACTAACAACTAGATGTCTAACCCCCAACATTTTACTGGTGTTTCATATTTTATCAAATCAATGATCCAGAGCGCCCTGAAGCATATAATGTTCAGTTTAATGGGCTGACCTACAGTGAGAAACCCTGAAAGAGCTCAAAGTTTGTATTTCACAGTTGTAAATGCATCTGAGAAGACTTTTTGTGCATCTTCTCATAAGACTGTCATTGATTAACAAGAAGGGGGCGGGAGAGACGGACTGTAAGCAGGAGAACTAGCTTTGTGTCAGCGATGCTTTAACCAGTCACCCGGCTTCTGATCTTTTCAGTTTGTTTATGGCAACAATAACTTTCTGTCCAAATCTGGCCCTCCACCTCGTTTTCCACAAATTAATTTCAAAATCCCATGACTATGTGAAATGTAGGAAATTTGCCACCTCAGAATGAGAAGCATTGTCTGACTGTTTCTCCAGATTTTTTTGAGATGTTTCATCAGTGAGATCAGTTTTGAAATCAGCCATGGCGTCTTGCAAAGTTGACATAATCAGGTGCTTGTGACTCTGAACACACCACCCCCCTAATTACACATCCTTGTGACATTGTCATGATGTGGGAGAGAGCAGAGATGCTGGTCGGTTCTTGAGAAGATGTCAATCCTTGTATTTAGAAGGGGAAAGTTGGAGAGGCTAAAGAAGATGAGGTTCGCTGTCCAGTCTCTGTGCTACAACAGGGTGTCTGCTCTTCCTTAAAATGTCTTAAAAAAATTTAAATTCATGTATCTAAAATTAAAAAATGTCCTTTTAATACATTAATCACAAACCTAAAATGTTGTCGTGGCTGGATTATTTAATCTTGTATTAACCTGCTGACAAAGTCTACTACCACGATAAAAACTGTTTTCATCGCAAGATATAAAAATAAACAATTTTGTTTTCTCTGTAACTAATAGCAAATATCAAGCTCCTACCGGATTCATAAACTTTCCCACAATTTCAAGGTCTAGTCAGAACAGAACCTGTTAGCCTAGCCTTCCCTCTGCTCTAGCAAGGAGCAAGTAGCATAACCTACCCTTCCATCATAGACGAAGTTATGCTGTTAGCCTAGCATAACCTAGCCTTCGATCTGCTCTAATAATGGGTTGTTAGCCTAGCTAGACTAGCTTAGTCATGGTTTTTATTTATTTTTTGTGGGTCTTTTTTGTTAGAGAAAAGTTTGAGTCGCACACAGACATCTTCACTGCGTTCTGTGATTTGAGAAGCTTAAGGCTACTGGTTACAAGTTGCTACTATACCTTTGCTAACTAGCTAGCCATTTTTTTTGCACCCATCTATCGTGGTTTAGGTGCAAATTTATGGACATTTAGCTGGATGACATTGGTCTTTGCCACTGCCTCGCCTCATAAAACAGTGTCTTTTGTTGCAGGTTTTCTCATTGAAGGATTATTTTTTAAATTTATTCTCACAGCTTTCCCATTTTAAATCCAGTTTTTCATCTAATAATAGATCAACTCTCTCCTGTTGGTCCCTCCCACCTCTCTGCTGCCCAGACTCACAGGCCTCTGGTCTCCCAGTCACCCCCTCTCGTAGACTCCCTCTGTCCACTTCACCTCTAAGTTGCCATTTTGTATCATTTGTATGAATTACGGTGGATGCGCCTGAGCGGTGAGCAGACACTGGCACAGGGACGGAGAAGACAGGGCCTTGAGTGTGGCAAATGCCCTCATCCATCATCCCAATATAGAGCCCTCAGTGGAGCGCAGCCATTGTCTGCAGCAGGCAAACACCCAGGAAGAGCAGATGGAGGGAGAGGACGGTGCTGAGCCCGTTTATTTTTCTCGCCTTTGTTTATGAGAATGTGTTTTTTTGAAGTTGGTTAGATCTCTACCATCTGTTTTTTTTTTATTATTATTATTTCTGAAAACGAGTCAATTCAGATATTTTGTTGCTGTCCTATAAGTAGAGGAGAGGGAGAGATGCAGTACTCCTGAGCTTTAAGGGAGGTGTTCAGGAAGCATTTTATTTTTATTCTGCTTTCTGAGATGTAAAGAGATTTCTATTTGGTGAACTTCTTCCTGTCTGAACTTGAACTTCTTCCATAGGTGGCGTACCTGAGACTATGAGATCTGAGGGCACACCTAGAGACTGGCAACTCTACTGAGTGTTTTTGAAGAGAAGACGATGCCCTGCTGCAGCTGACAAAGGAACTTCTGAGCTTCAGTGTGTCTTCTTTTTTTTCTGTAGGGATTCAGCTCAGTGTGGAATGCAGAAGTATGAGATATCCTGAGCATGGTGTGGTTTTCATGTTGAGACATGATGCTTCCAAGACTAACATCCTGGCAGTAGTAAAACTTGAAAGACTTGAGTTTTCTGAGAATTCATCACTTCACTGTAGTTAATATTTTTTTAACGTGTATGTACAAGTTCTTTTTTACCATTATAATAAACATAGTCTGTTTTTTTTAAACAAAAAAAGTTGTTTTTGATTTGCTAGAAAGGAATGTTGGTGTCTGTGTGGAACTTTGTTCTTTTACTAGGCTGTTAAAGTTTCTTGTACTGGCAGATCAGTCTGGGAGTTGATGAGTTTTTTTCCTCAATATGCATGTAGAAGTATATGATTCATGCTGAACACCTCTTCAGACATTAAGTCAGGTCACATCTGATTGCATAGCACAATTAAACAAGACAGTTCAAAGTGTTTTATATGATAAAAGCTTAATACACTAACCAATTGTGAAGCAATGACCATTACATTTTGTCAACTCAAAATCATCAAGAAATAATCAAGGATATGTACATCAAATATATTGATCAATGCCGCAGTTATTATTAATCAAAGGCAACTTTAAGCAGGTGGATTTTATAGCCTTTGATTTAAGGAAACTGAGTTTTGGGCCTCTGTCTCTTTAAGAAAGCCTCTGTTTCTTTACAAAACTCCACCATCAGGAAGACGTCACAACATTGCTGCTCTATTAAAGTTTTTACCAGCGTTGCACTGAGAAGCAGCTCGTATAATGAGCTCAGTAGATGAGTGATGTGCTAATTGCTACTGGCTAGTCTGAAGGAGGTGAGTGGGGAAGCGCCGCTCTGTGAGGCGGAAGCTTGGAAACTGCAGGAGTTTTGTCCTCGAAGTTGGAGCTAAGTCCCCCCCAAGCATTCTGCAGAGCTGAATGGTTGCCATGGGAGATTAAAGGATTTCTCAAACATGTATAACAGAGTCAGGGCAACACTCCTGGTATGTTTTTGATGATGGAATGGCATAACATGATGTAAAGCTTAAAAAAGTTGATTTTATATAATAAAATCAACTTATTACATGCAGTTAACTGCTAGCTTAAAATCAACAAATCTAGTAAAAGGACCTTCAAAGTCCTTTTACTAGATTTTCTAGATGTCAACCAAAATGTGACCACTTGTTTATCATTGCGTTGGCTCCAAAAAAGTCACACCAGCTGAGAAAAAGCTCACAGGCCTGTTAGACACACGGCTGGATCTCCCCCTGCCAAAACACCCCATGAACACAGCATCCAGTGCGAACAGTTCTCTGAAAAGCAGCGCCGCGTAATATCTGCCTGCTCGTCTATTTTTACAAGGTCCTGGTAGGAGCAATCGGGGAAATGTCTACTACTTGACGGCGTGCCTGGATCTGCTGAATGCTGATGCAGCAAGTGACAATTATGTGTAAAAATACAAAGCGGTGGAGCGACCACTGAGGCGGCAAAGCACAGAGTGAATTGGCTAATTAACTACATCTAACGCCGAAGCATCAGGGGCTTCGCATTTCCTCTCGGCCCTTTCTCCACAAGTGCAAATGAAGTAGGCTCTAAATAACCCATTTGTTTCAAGTCGGCTGAGCAGGAGGAGCAGCGCCACATTACTGGCTGCTGGTGTGTTGAACACACTGGCAGACACAGTCACCCTGAAGGCTTCTCCAGTTGCAGGCTCCCTTTGTCTGCTTCCCTTTCATGATAGACACCAGAAGCGTCAAATTAAAAGTTTTTGGCCAGCACGCTGCCATCTGCCGACACCGTGCGGCTCATTAGCCTTTTCATACAGTACTCTAATGAAAAATTTCAGCCTGAGTAAAGGTCTACTACACATCCTGCCTAAGTAATTACTCCTCCATGCTTGGAAGACTTTTTTTTTGTTTTTTTTTGCTTGCCCTTCTTTTACACATTTGGCGGATGTGCAAAAGCAGCAGAGTGGTGATAAACCGCTGTGCAGTGTATTGCAAAAAAATTTATAAGAGCAAAATACCATTTGGATAGATTTTCCAGTTTCTTTTTCCTTTGACTCTTACGTTTGAATGGACACAAATTTAGTCATTCGGTTTTAAAGACAGTAGTATATGCAGTTAGCTGCTAGCTTATTAAGCTTATTAATGGTGAATGCTAATACATCCTCAAACTAACTGAACCACAAACAGAAAACTAGGAATGCTGTGGGTTTGTTTGACCAAAAATAACAGTTGTAAAAATCAGTACAAGTAGTTCGGTTGTGATAAATCTCCAATCCAACCAAAGGTGAACTATTTGTGCTTCAGAAGTTTTGTATGTTTTTATCTGAATTCAATGACCGACTGTTAATTTGCCGTGTCATTGCGTGAAGTACTTTTGTTTATGCGTCCAGGTACCTTCAAGCATCAGGTGCTTGTAATACTCAACTTCACCAACTTTTTACAAATGTTCAGCAGTTAGTTTAGAGCGCTAAAGGATGCTAACTAGTCAAAATCTTCAAGCCATCTCAAAGATTTCTTGTCTGTTGTAATCTCACAATCTCATGGTATTCTCCTTTGCAAAGTAAATAAACCAAGGACTTAAAAATAAAATCTTATAGTTAACATCAACGTAAGCCTAACATTGTTAAAACACTGAGGCAGGACACGTTGAGGAAATTTACACCATCATCCTCTGAAAACTATGAATGCCTGCAGCGAATTGCCAAATGAGCCGAACATTTATGTGTTCGAATGTTGCATGACAAGAAGTGAGAGAACCACCAAGGTCAGTAAGCTATATACCCCGAGGAACTGCCAATGTCTGTGCAAAATGCATTGCATGCCATCCAGTCACTCCATCCTCTCAGTTCCAACCCAATCAGTGAACCAACCACCAAAGCAGCAATGAGATTCTTGGAGCCCCGCTGCTGGAGGGGCTAATAACTTTGCTCTGAAAATTAAATAAGCTGTCAACAGCAAGCATATTTCACAGGTTCCTAAGAGATTATTTTTTTACGGGAAGTGATACAGTTGGTCGACTGGAAAAGATTTTCATTGTTCCTTAATCTACTTCCGAGAGGCAAACTTTCTACCACTCCAGTGCTCAGACTGGAAACAAAATATTTGACTTGAGTTCTTGCTTTCACCTGTTTCCCTGTGTCACGTTTCCCCCCGTTCCTCCGTCTGAGATAAATGTTTAAGGAAACCACACTTGACACCACAAATGTGGAATGATCAAGTCTATGAGCACACAGTATGATTTTCAAATTGGATTTTCCAGCCCTTTGCCTTTACTAATGTATTTGATATTATTTTTGGATTAAGCGTGACAGCGATGTGTGAGATTACAACGTGGCCAGCGTAGAAGGAAAGATATCCTGTTGGGAGAGGTCAAGCCATAAAGCTTGTCTCATCTCAGGGAGGAAATGAGGCATTAGATTGAGTTCCTGTTTTAGTCACCCAATCCTAATGGGTCATCTATCCTGAGGATCTTGGAGTCATTTTGAGAAAGACAGATGACAAAATGTTTGCTCTTGCCTTTTCCTGGCAAATAAGAAAAAGACTTTCCGAAAGAGTCGAGAGTTTTCACACTCCGGCTTTTAAAAAGGGTTCAAAGGGTTATAATCATGTTAGAGTTAATGCCTTGTTTTGACTGTGCCCTTTCATAGTCAATTATTATTATTATTTTTTTTTTGTGTAACGGCCTTTTAAAGTTTAGAAATCAATCAACTCCATTATGCTTAAAAGGATTTTGAGTAATCTCATATTCAGGAAGTGCTTGGGATGAGAGTAGACTCTGCAGAGTTTACGGCCATGAATGATTTTACAGTTGTTAAAAGGTAAGGACTCCATCCATCAAGTTAAATGGTAAATAGCACTTTATCTAGTCCAGAGTACCTGAAGGGCTTTACACTACATTCAGTCATTCATACATTCACACATTCACGTGCTGATGGTAACTAGCTGCTACATTGTAGCCGCAAGGGTCTTGTCCACTGTGGATGCCACCCCGGTTTGTTGGTGTGAAGGAAGACCTTAGCTACAAACCAAAGCCCTCAACTTATTAATTAATCTACATTTCTATTCTCACACATAGTCATGAGATATCAGTACAGGAGCTATGGTTTTGGATGGACTTTTATAATTTTTTTTTAATCCCAAGTAAATCTATCAATTCACAGCCCACTACCAGAATTATTAAAGATGAATACACCAAGTGTTATGGCCACTGTGATATGTGAAGTAAATTTTATTGATTATCTCTTCATCAAGGCACCATAATGTGGATGGGATGTGGAAGGCAGCAAGTAAGCTACATCTGTCGAACTGTAGCTCTACTGGAGGCGTGCCAAGTCTACAGTGGCTAGAATCTCTCAGATTGGTCGAAGGAGGGAGGAATTGTGAATTGGCAACTGGGTCAAGGGGCAATCTGTGAGAGGTGCCTTGCAGCAATCCCAGCCTATGGAGGCCACACCTTCAATCTACAGGACTTAAAGGACCTGCTGCTAACATTTCTGGTGCCTCAGACTCTACAAGGGTCTACAAAGAGTCCATGCCTTAAGTTTTGCTGTCAAAAATTCAAACTTTCTTAGGCTTTCACCATCATAATGTTTTACCTGATCCATGTAATCTGGGTTGCCATTTTGTTCCATTAAGATTTAGACTCTGACTAATGTCGGAACTGTGTTAATTTGTTCATAGCCCCACTTCACGGTTAGCACTAATTAGCAGCAAACGTGTGTGGGTCAAATGCTAGTTTTTTGTTTGTTTGTTTTGTTTTGGTTTTTTTTTTGCCGTGCTCGAATAAGAAGCTGTCACTTAAGCCCTGCTAATGTCGCTGAGTGTTTTTCATTTTAAACCTCTTCAGAGCCAAATTAACGGTTCTAAACACCCTGTGGCGCGACCGCAGCTTCCCCACTGCTCTCCTAAATTCCAAGTCACAACCGTCTTTCCCTCTGGCGTCCCCTTCCTTCCCCATTACTCTAACAACCACCCCTCCCCCTACACCCATACTGCTGCCATCTTGGCATTCTAACAAGACCATTGGGCATATCCACAAGCCTTCAGGGGCTCATTAGTTTGTCCATTGGACTCAACGAGCTTCAGTGGCAACCGAGGAGCCGACCCACTTCAAGCCTTCAAGCAGAGGAAGGCCGCAGTCAGCCCGCTTCCCGGGAAAGGATGTCACAGCTGCCTCAGCAAGTATGAGGCAAAAACAACTCAAAACAGAAATCTAGAAAGCACTTTTTCAGACTAATGTGTACAGCCTGTGACAGCGCAGTG